GGTAGCGCCTTGGCGTGGGAAACCAAGGCATGTGGGTTCGAAACCCGCAGGGGATACATTAAATCCGGAACTTAAGCACCTCAGGTTTCTAATAAATACAGAGGTGTACAAATCGCTCCAACAAATCGCTCTATGTTCCTGGGATGAAAAGTTATTATTGCATGTATTTAATTGTCACTTCTTTGTATTTTCTATGTTCTTGTTATCTTGACATGGTCTCAACACCTGTATTTTCTCCTGTATAATCAACACTTGATCTGTATTTAACATCACGCAAGAACTCATCATAAGCTTCACTTGCATATAAGTATAATGAAAGAATAATAATAATAATAATAATAATATAGAGATCATATAAGAGTAGTTACTAGCAGACAAAGAAAAAGTGTAAGAAAAGAGAAGAAATAATGAATTAATTATTAATTATAAGAGTTAGCTGTAAAAGACAAATATTATTATATATATTTCATTAATTTTCATACATCACATATTTAAGATATTTTCAACATCACATCATCTGAAGAAAAACATCAAAAACAAAGAAAATCTCAAAACTTGAGATTTGTAAGAAATTTAAGAGTCATAAGCTACTCTTATAATAACACTGTATATATCTCTGATTTCTCTATCACTTTGTATATGATATTAATATCATTTATCACAAGATTGACTAAAATGCCAATATAGAAATGTGTATGTGTATGTGTAGAAAAATTGAAGAAGAGTGTGAGACCTGCAGAATCAGAAGTCAGAGCAGAGAAGATAGAAATAAAAGAAATAGAAGAAGAAGAGAGTGTAGAACTGAATAAATAACAGTAAAAGTTACTCAGAGCTGAATACTTATAATCTGAAGTACACATGATCTTATCTGCAGAGAAGATGTTGAAAGAGAAAATGATAAGAGAAGTTTGAAAGTGAAAGAAAGTAGTCTCAGTGACATTATTATCTTTGATTAAAATAATCTCTGATATCAGAGTAACTAAGAATTATTATTAGTATATAAAACTGCAGAATCAGAGATGAGAATAGTTACTGAATAAACATCTACTGATCTTAGAGTTGTACATGTAATTACAACATGCATGAGTCTTCTCAGAAAGAGAGAGAGAGACATGAGAGAATACAGAAAGCAGAATACAGTGTATAAACAGTTCATTCTCATAATAACATTTCAGATAAGATGTATAAGTCTCATATCTGCAGGTGTAAAAGAGTACAATATTCATGTTCTTATTTCTGAAAACACAGATATCTTTTACCTGTATCACAAAGTCATATAATAGATACTAGAGAGTAGACTAATATAGATCTATCATTTCAAAGAAATTCATCACAGTAGATATATCTGTAATATTAAATTTAACAGTTGTAAAAAGTTTCTTAATATTTATAAACACTATGACTTTGTGTATAATAAAACTCATAACAATTTTCTCTAAGAACAGGAAAATCAGTATTAGAAAGAAAAGATGAAAAAAGAAAAGACTTATAATCTTGATACTGTTGAGAAGAAAAGTGATTCTTTAGTATAAATAAACAATTGCTTTATTATAAATACTTAAAATAAATATAATAATGAGTATTTACAACTGAGCTTTAGATAGTCATGTTATATATCATCTTTATATAATAAATTATTCTAAAGATTGATAAAAAAGAGTGAAAGTATATATACTAAGAAATATGATTCATCAAGTCTATATAACATCTTCTTAAAATAGAGAGAGCTGATAATGAAAGCAGAAGTAGTAGAGACAGAGAGAGCAGAAGTAGCAGAAGCAGAAGTAGTAAGAGTGAGAATTACAGAAGCAGAAGTAGCAGAAATGAGAGAACTGAAAACAGAAATAAGTGTAGAAGATTAAAAGAAAGCAGCAGAGAAAGAAACAGTAGCAGAAGAGATAGAAAAGAACACAGAAGACTCAGTTATATATAGCACAGACAATTTCTTTATTATTATATTATTTAAGTTCTCAATCAATGATTCAATATTGAGATGTTTACTATTATTAGTGAATGTAAATCTGTCAATATGTGAAGACTCTATATAAATCAAAACAAATATATCAGTATCTGTATTCACATCAAACATAATCAGATACTTACTGAGAAAAGAAGGTTGAGAGTGTATAAGAAGATTAAGAAGATGTGTCATTTATAATAGTACATTCTGACAATTATTAAAAGATAAACAAGTTCTGATTATATTTCATAATATGTTATACTTACTGCTAATGAACTCTCTGATATGAGTACTATAATAACACTTATTATAAGAATGAGAGATCATCATCAGAAATGCATACAATGTAATAGATAAACAGATAGAAGGTGTTAAATAGAAGAAGAGACAGAGATCTTGAATGAGATAATAATGCTCAATAATAATGATAATGAGAAAGATGATTGAAGAATGAAAAAAGTTAGTGAATGAGTGATGTAATATAGTGAAATTTTCTTTATAAGAGTGTAAGAAGAATGCTAGTCAGATCAGAGATAGACTGTATAATTACAAATACTAGCAGCATACTAATCCGCATGAAGCTAGAGCTTATATTATAATTATATAGATATGACTGAATCTGATAAGAGAGAATGTAATTTAGAAAAATATATAACTATTGAATAATAACACAGCTGCTTCTGAACATGCTTATAAATGTAAAGAGATCATAGCAGTCACTAATTAATTTAGTATAATATATATAAGAAGCCGGCGTACGCCTGTAATTAGACTGACCGTGTGACCGTGTCTGAGACCAGAACCAGATTTTTTGATAGTCTTATTATCAATTCGACTGATCTCATTACACAGTTTTAATATTAGATAGTTGCAGCATACATCACCTGTAGTGTATGCCGATCACGTATCATACATGTAAAAAGGTAAATCTTGTCTTATTCTTCAAGATGGAGATGGGCGGACACCCCTATATATATATATATACATGCTTGTTTGTTTATTGTGATTGACTTTTACAGAAGAAAGGAGCGGAAGCCTCAGAAAGAAGAAGTGAAAGCCTCAGAAAGAAAGAGACAGAAGTCTCAGAAAGAAAGAGACAGAAGTCTCAGAAAGAAAGAGATGAAAGTCTCAGAAAGAGATGAAAGTCTCAGAAAGAAAGAGATGAAAACCTCAGAAAGAGATGAAAGCCTTAGAAAGAAAGAGATAAAAGCTTCAGAAAGTAGCAAGAATGAACATCACAGTCTCTCTGTCTGAAAAGAGATGAATGTCTGAAAATAAGATGATAGAAAAAAAAGCTAAATCTAATAAGAAATGAGTTAGGCATTTTTCAGATGCAGGTTAATATCCTTCTTGTGTGAGAGACAGATAAAGAAAGAGATTGAAACAATGAGATAATAATAACACAGTGATAAAGAATCTGAGACAACAAGGTGATAGATATTATAGAGAATCTTTGTCTGTTATGAATATTATACAGATACAATGAGGTGATAATGAAACAATGACTATGAATGAGATAAAGAATCTGAGACAACAAGATGATAGATGTCATAAGAATGAATAAATAGATGAAAGATGAAGAACTGTAAAATGCAGAGTAAATATGAGTGAAAGAGAACAAGAGAATTAAGAATGATAAAGAAACAGATCTTCTGTTGAAAGACTGAGAATGATATGAGTAAATAATCTGTAAGTATATAATGCAATCAGTCATCTTTCTCTTCTTATTTTTCTTTTCTCTTTCTTATTATCTTTTCATCATCATTTCTCTTATTATAAAAAATTTTCATTGAAATCTAGAGAACTTGCAGTAATGAGTTCAAGAAAGATATTCAGAACATCAGATATGAGAGAAGCAATTGATCAGATTAATTGCCTTGATAGAAGTGATACAAGAAGAGTGTTGAAAAGGTTATTTCAGTCATTGAGTCAGAAAGAGCATAATGCTCTTCTTGAGGCTGCAGAGAAGACAAATGAAATTGAAGAGTCAGAATCTTATTCTTCAATGTCTAAGATAGTTTCAAGAAGTGATGAGAAAAAGACAGTTGCATCTCATTATCAGTTGACTAGATTACATAGTCAGAAAGTCATGGATGAGTCAGTGAAGAAATCTGAGAGCAGAAGCTCAAAAGATTCAGATGTGACTGTAGAGAGGTTTAAATAGAAGTTTATTACACTATTCACTGAGCTGAAGAAGTCATGATCTTCAAATACATGTGAGTTCTCTGATGAAGATACAGATGTGAAGACAGTGACTGAAGACAAGATGAAGTCAGTAGCTCAGATAGAAGTGAAAGTGAAGTCAGCAGTGAAAGATATTCATGAGAAGAAAGATGAAGAGAAACTGAAGCTGACTGAAGCAGATAAACAGTGATGAAGAAATAGTCAGAAGCAATGTAGCACATTAGAGAATAATATGCTGAGAAGAACAGAATGAAAGAGAGTTATTGAAGATAATCAGATGCCTTGATCATAAGATGTGACTTGTATGCACTGTCTGCATCATGATGACAAAACCAATCTACACATTCAAAAGAATGAGAAGTCAGCTCAGTCAAGTGTATTGATAATATGAGATCTGACTGTAGAAGGACTTGCAGATGCCATGTAAATTATTGAAAGACTCACAGAATGCAGTGAGAAAATGCTGTTTATAGACTGTGAATTTTTTGTTCTGCTCAGTTAGTGATTGATCAAGCAGCTGAAATGAATGCTCACACAATGAAAGTTACAGTGATGAATGATAAATAATGACTTAATTACTCTGAGAATAGTTGATCTCAAAGATTCAGCTAATCAGAATGTCATCATTCTTCAAACTCATAGAGAAGTAGCTCTCACATCTTGTCAGTCTTGTACAGCAGATCACAGATGATTCAAAGAGTGTGTGATTACTTCTTCAGATAATAATCAGACTCAGCAGGGACATGATGCTTATATCAACTGTTAGTGAGATAACAAGAGTGTCTGCTGTTCTTTAAATTGTCATAGCTGATACAGATTTGAAAAAAACACTGACAATCTGCTGTTTGAGAGAAGTATGCTGAGATTTGAGAAGACTGTGAATACAGACAGAGATGATACTATCAAAGATAGTGATGCAGATGAAAATAATTTGATCTTTATCTCTGCTGAGAAGACACTCACTTTCTTGAAACAGAAGACCTTGAGTCTGATCACTCTGAAATCTACTAAGTATATTCTAATTAGTGAGAGAAATGCTAGTTTAACTCCTGTCAGAGTGGTCAAGAATATCAAGATAAGTGGCAGACAGTAGTCATCAATTTTATCTTCCAGGGATCAGACTATTAACTGTATGACACAGGATCTGAAGGTGTTGAGACAGCTGCTTAATCTTGATAAATATAATCTGAACACCATGCAGGCTGCTCAGAAGAAGTTAAACAAGATCAGAGAATTTGCTAATGTGATCTTAGCTGCAGATAACATTATCAATGATAATTATTTCTTCAAACTGCCTAGTGAGACACACTTCAGTGATCTCATGAATGACAGTCTGTCAGCAGATGTTGTATTCTGAGATGCATGTCTCACTAAACAGAAGATGAAGCTGCAACATGAGCTTGAGAATGATTAATAAGAGACTTGAAGTGAATGTAACAGATAGAAGATCTCTGATTTTACTTTTCTTTATTCTGTTTTCTTCCTTCTTTTTTTTTTTTTCTTCTGCAGTTAGTAGTTAAAAAATAGTGATAATGAATTTTCTTTTCTTTTCTTTTTTCCCTCTTTTTTCTTGTTACTTCTACTCATGATATCCTCTTTCTTATTCATTTCTCTTAGGCTTGACATGATCACCCGCGAGGTCTCTTAACTATGAAGACTTTGACAAGATCTGAAGTATTCTTCATAATCACATCAAGAGATTCTCAGGTCAGGTCTTCATATTCTCTTCACTTAATCTGAAGATATGTTTTTCCCCTCTTTGTGCATTTACTGATGATCTTTTCAATTTCAAATTGAGACTGATTAGTCATAATGACTGACTCTGAGGATGAATGTTCAAGATCTGCAGAATGTAGAAGTGTTTTTTCCAAATGAATAATAGAAATAATAGAATGCATACATCACTTAAGAGGAAGTAGTAGATGAAAGACAATATCAAAGACTTTTATAACAACCTCAAACAGATCAGTCTGCAGAAATGAGATCTTTGAAGATTCTTAAACAGTATATTCTTTCTCATTCTTGCAGACCAGATTAAGAAAGACAAAGTCACTCATCTTGATAACTGATTGAGTGTGAGAGCAGTCGAAGAATTCCATCATTTTAATCTTCATGAGAACATATAAATCTAGAGTATCTCACTATACAGTGTCACAGACTGTGATGAATTCAGCTGTATCTGTCAGAGCTTCTTTATTTCTCAGCAGCAGTCATCTCAGCTTGACTTCTGTGAGCAATTCAAATGAGAAGACTATCACTGAGCGAGTGACTACTGAGTTCAGAACTCTTTTCATCTGATTAAGTAGAATTCTTTAAGATGATTTGTACTTATCTATGAGAAGTGCTCACAAGGTGATTTCAATAGTGAGATTGATTCACTCACTCTAGTCATTTAAATGAGAATTGTAGACAGTTGTCATTCAGCTCTTGATTCTCATCTGTTGAAGAATGCTCTTTCAAAATTATAACATGAATTTGAAATCTCTATCTGAGATAATGATCAGTGAGAGCTGTCAGTAACAGACTACTTCTCTGTAGAACTCTTTCACTTATTACAGAGTATCTCATTTCTCTTACCTGATGATCAGAATGACAGCTTTCAAGAATTTATCTGTAACTGTCAGTATTGTGTCACAGCTGTCACTTATCAGTAATCTCATAATAAAATCAATTGACAGAACCTCAAATGATTCTTTCAGAGATAAGATGAGATGTGATTTTCCTCACTGAGAGTGATTTAATAACTTAGACAGTTGACAATTGAGACAACATGAGATGCAATTGAGAATTCATTTATAAGTGTGAGATAACAAGAAGAATCAGTGTACAATGTCTTCTGTTTGATAAAGACCCTGGTGTTCAGCAGCATCATAATACATGCAGATAAGGTCTTCTGCTAAGGTCTGTGTAATACAGAGACAGTCATTGACAAAGAACAGAAGATCATCTTGAAATGTGAATGAATGATATTTTCTCTCTCACATCCCTTTATGATAGATCTTTCTCAAGATTGAATCAGTCAGTAGATTCTTACACAATTGATCTTTGATATTATTTAAGAGAGCAATGTCTACATTGAATACAGTAGTGATGAACTCATTCTTGATTTCATCAGCTTACTGAGTGAGTGCTTGACATATCTTTTCTTGATTATCTTGAGAAATCTCTTCAGAATTGTCTGTGAGAGTGTATAATCAGAAGAGAGTATCAATATTATGATATGAAGTGTCTTTGCAATAGTGGATTTTCATGCATGGAATATACATGCTAAGGGTCAGAACTCAATTCATCAATTGATTACTCTGATGACCTGTGGCAGATGACTGAAGAGTGAATATAAGTGCAATATAATCAGTCACAATGATGAATTCACTGTCAAGGTATTGAGAAAGCTTTTTCAGAGCTCATATCAATTCTAAGCACTCTAATTCGGTCGCTCAATACTGTCTCTCTGCCAGGTTCAATCATCATGATAGAAATAGAATAGGCCTCTCAATCTCATCAGCATCCATCTGATGCAGCGCGATCTCTATTCCACACTGTTTGCTAGAATTCACATACATGATGAATGATCACTTGAAGTGAGAGTATGCTCTCATGAGAGCATTCATTAAGGCCTGTTTAACAGTATTGAAGAAAAGTTAAGTCTCTGTGAGTAGAACTTGAAATTGTGAAAATGCTTCAAACTCAATCAATTTGATTCTTGCTGCATACAATGCTCTTTTCTGACCTGTTCAGAGGCTGTTGCACAGCATTCTGATTTTAAGTGTTTTCAGTGCTTCTATCTTATCTGCATAGAAGTTTACAAAGTCATGATAGTAGTTGAAGAGGCTGACAACTCTCTTCAGCTCTCTGAGAATTATAGAGAAGACCAGATTTGTGATAGCAGCTATCTTCTTCTTCTGAGTGAATATTCTCAGTCAGCTAACATAGTGGCTCAGTAAACACACAGAGAGATAGATGAAATGACATTTGAATAAGAACATTATCATCTCAAACATCTTGAGAGCAGTGAATACTGCCTGTATGTGATGAAGATGATCATTTAGTGAATATGAGAAGATGATGATATCATCAACATAGATCAAGATGAATCATCACAAGAATTGTGCCAGTATCTCTTTCATACATTTAGACTGGCCGCCGGGACCATGAATTTCACGTTTGGTCTCATTTGATCTGGTCTCATACATTTCTTGGCGTGAATCCCGCTGGGACTAATCATTAAATAAACATGCAAAGTGACTATATATCAGATCTCAAAATGGAATCATGACTTGAAAAAAATGAGAAAGTGGTCTCATTTGATCTCATTTAGTCTCATTCTTAGCATAAAGTTACTATTTTTAGACATTTTAAGGTTTTTTTTAGACTATTTTTAATTTTTTAAAAAGTAACGCTTTTTGGTAACACTCAAATAAGATTTAAAGCTATTTAAAGCAATAAAAATAATTTAAATTGAGAAGTGGAAATCATGGTCTCATTTGGAAAATGTGACAAGAGTTGACAGTAAGTCCCACTGAGACAGTATGAGACTACTATCTAATGTTAGAACCGTGTAATGGGATCTGTCGAATTGACAATGAGACTATCAAAAATTCTGGTCCTGGTCTCAGACACGGTCACACGGTCAGTCTACATACATTACTGAAAGAATCTGAGTGAGATTGCTAATCTCATTGTAGCAACTGTGAAGCATTCAAGCTCTCAGTGCAGTGTGATGAAGATGGTTTTAAAGTAATCAGAATCTTCTATAAGCTGTTGAAAGAAGCCTTGACAGATATTCATTGATAAGAACACTATGAAACTGCTCAACAACTGCAGAACATTCTACTGTATCAGTAAAGAATACACATTTGAAAGTAATTGTAGTTTGATCTTTCACAAGTTCATAATCACACACAGTTTCTCTTTATGCCAGATCATGAATATAGAAGAAGTGATAGAGTTCTTGATCTCAAGAGAAACTCTCTCAATTCTTTCATTTCAAATAAGTAGGTTCAAGATTTGATCAGCTGCTTTCTAATCCCTCTGTGAGAGAGAGTATGATCACTGCTTCAGTCTGAAAAAATTATCTTTATTAATGAACTGTAGTGATATCTTCATATTGACTGAAAATAATCTCAGATTGAGATCAAAAAGTTTGTGATGTCAGTCAATAATCTTCTGAATTGTCTCATGATCATCTGCTGCTCAGTGATCTAATATCTGTGCTTTAACTCACTCAGCAAGAGTATTCACTGTGAGAATCTGAAGAGGATTGTCATGATCTTCTGTATCTGTCAATAGAAATAATTCTGTGTGTGAGATAGAAAACAGAGATGACTTCTCAATTGAATTATTATTGACAATATTAGCATCTGCAGAGCAGATGATGATTCTTTTTTACTTTTATAACAGAGAAGAGTTTCTACCTGCATGAATAATGTCTCTGATGATCTTGATATTTATAGCATATTTCTCATGAAATATAATACACTTATCATGAATATTGATGATGACTCTCACTGATGATAATATATTATTTACTATAATCATATTGCATCTGAGATATCACATCAGATGAAATTCACTCTTCAGATGAAAAAGAGCCTCATTATTCATCTTTAGAGTGAGAGCTGTTGATATGAATAGATTCAATTCATTTATATTCAAATCAACTTCTCAAATATGCATACATCAGTCATGTGACAGAGCAGTCAGCTGATATTGAGAAAAGAATAAGCTTGCTATCACTGCATTAATAAGCAATATATTCACACCTGTATCAATGCAAACTGAGAGATCATCTCAGAGAGTATCAATGAGAATGATAAGAAAGATGTAGAGTAAGTACTGCAGTTCACTAATATATTCTCAATCACTTGTGAGAACATCACACGCCATGATAGTGTATATATCAGTGTTAAACATACTCAGATAATTGTCTGAGAGAGTGTTCATGAATAAGACAGACCTCTCAGTATCTGACTCATTGTCTATTTTTTCAACTCATTATTGAAATCTAGACTGAGATCTAGTTATAATAGATTATCATTCTCTTCTCTGTCACTCTTTCATTCAACTTGATTCACTAGGTCTTCTTTTCTAAGGCAGTGATTGATATAATGAGAGCCTCTGCATATATAGCACCCTGCTGCAGATGCTGATGATTTACTCTCTGCATATCTAATCAGCAGTCTGCTCACTGCAGAGACACTCACAGAGAGAGTCACTGCAGAGTCTGCAGCAGACACAGATGACTTGATAGTTTTCATATATAACCTGATTAAGAGAGTCTGATAAGAGCAGCAGTCATTATTTTAATCAAATTATCTGAAGTCTTGTATATATTCAGTGAATTGAGTTCTTCAATCA